TTCAAAGCCTCCACCATCATCCCCGTCCCCTAAAAACCAAGGACCAAATGGACTCAACAACTACAGACCTGTCGCCCTGACCTCTGTGGTCAGGAAGTCTTTTGAGCGCCTTTAAGAGTCATAACGGACCCACTCCTGGACCCCCTGCAGTTCGCCTACAGAGCCAACAGGTCTGATAGCAGAAATTACATACTGTGAATTGAATTCTATCTTACAATGGGGCTGTAGTCAGGGTTTTAGACTTATAATGCAACCCCTATTCGAACAGTCTGACCAGACACTAGGAAAGGAAAGCCTGTCAGAGTTTTCTAAAATATTTAGATTTTACATATTGTATTTATTTAACTGTGCAATTAACATTTTTTGTCATTGGTGGTGGGCATTTTTTAAATACATGTATTTATTTTATTGGCTTAGTACTCAAATTCTAATAAACTGTCCCTGTTTGAGACAAAGTAACTAAACATATTGTCACTGTTAAATAAAAACCTTCATTCTCTGTTAGCAGGTCTCCATTTTTTAGCTGAGGATGTCTCTGCAGTCTCAGATGTTGGCTCTTGTCTTGGTCTTTGTCTTCATGGGCTCTTGCCCTTACATGGCAGCCCCTCCAGGTGAGCCAGATGATGAAGCTTTTGACCTTGAGAACTACGACCTGAACAATGAGATGGACTGGGAGAAACTGGACCTGTTTGGAAACATTTATGAGTATGATGACTTGGACCAAGAGGTGAGGGGGAAGTGATTAAACACTAATATAACATTAGAAGCAGTAGAGAACTAGCAGCTAGCAAGTGCTGTGGATGTAACGTTACTTTTGTGTTGTTGTTAGAAGGAATAACTGCCCAAAGGCAGTGCAATGAATAGGTATAGTTCAAGCTCTTATTTTAGATATTCTTGTTCCCTGGAATGACAGAAAACAAAACTAGTAACTGTAACTAATTACTAATTTTCAGTAACTTACCCTTACTAAACACCACCCAACAGTCACTGTGTACTGAAACAACCTGGAGTACACATAAACATAAGTGTAGCATAGTAAGAACCTCAATGGGATACAGGTATTTGCATCACGGATAAACCATAACACTTTGCTTTTTACTTTTTCTAAAAAGTCATTAAAATAACCGTACTAAAAATCTAATTTGAACTGTCACTGTCTTCCTGGCTTCCCTGGGAGGTCAGTTTGAAGTGGGTACTGTGGCACCAGAAACCCCGCCACCAGCCAACGAGCACACTGCTGAACACTACGAAGCGGAGGGGACCCTGCCCACCCCACCTCTTGCTCCTGTCACCCTGGACTTTAAGGGACCAGATATCTTTGGCCCGGAGACTGGCCTGGGTAGGTTAAAGTGTCAACTGTGTTTATATCTGCTGTCACTGATGTTTTTTTAAATTAAATAGTTAAATTGTGTATTGTGTGTGATGTGTTAATACTAAGTCTGTCTTTGTGCAGGTATGCCTATTTGTCTACTGTGTGTCTGCATTGGTGGGAGTGTGTACTGTGATGACATAGGCCTGGATCAGATCCCAGTCCTGCCAAAAGACACCACTCATTTTTATGGCCGCTTCAATAAGATTCGGCATGTCAAGAACACAGACTTCATCAACCTGAGTGAGGAATCACTTTGGACACACCTACCATAAACACTAATAACACGATAAATGGCATATAATAGTTGATGTGATTTTTGTATTGTTGTTGTCACAGATAAGCTCCAGTCCATTGATCTAACAGGGAATCAGATTTCTGGAATGGATGAGGATGTGTTTCGTTCTCTGCTGCAGCTCCAGGAGTTACTGTTGGCGGATAACAACCTGCAGGTCATGCCTGAGCTGCCAATCACCATGAAACACATCGATCTACGCAACAACAGGCTGATCAGTCATGGGGTACATTCTGAGGGATTCAAGGTAAATCTCCTGCATATATGCTTAAAATGTCGGTATGACATAAGCATAAGGTCTTACTGTCTTATTGTCTTCTTTCATAAATGTAGTGCAAATGATGAAATTAGTTGAAATGGAATGGAATGTTACTTTGTGTTCTTTGTGATGGGAGGTAGAGGGGTGAAAAGGTTTATTACGGTTGACAATTCAGCTACGTTAATGGCCCATACATATGCAAACACAAACTTACGATAAAGCAAGCATAATTTCACGATAAAGCAAGCATAATTAAGAATTTGTCATTGACAATGTTTCACAAAGTTCATAAAATTTTCCCTAACTTTACAAGTCAGAAAACTGCACAATTTTGAGATTCTGGGAACCTTCTCCCTGGGCAACAAAGGATCAGTTTAGGTGGTTTGAGTAAGAATATTGTTAGACAAAACACATCTTTTGGGTTTTCCTCTGGGTGTCCCAGCTGATACTACACAATGACTTGTCTGGGATTCTATTTGTTACTGGTCTGTTCTGTTCTGTTTCTTGGCTGAATAAAACATTCTCTTTCACTTGTTTTTTCAATGTCATCCTATAAAACATTAATAATAGGGTGAAAAAATAATCTGCCTTTTTGCTTGCACTTAATGAGCCATGACGGGATTAGGAAACTTTACCGAGTTGAAAACCACCGTTGTATGACCACTTAGTGTGATTGCGGTTGTTAGGGTTAGTAAAGACAGATAACTAAAGATATCCTAGGTATGGTGAACTTGCTTTGTAGTACAGGCTTCTTATCTCCCTCCCACACCTTTTAGCCCAGACACATGTAAACACAAACCCAATGATGAAAAATTGTGTTTGGTCATTGGCAGGCTCTATTGGCAGAAATTGAAT